TTGAACTCTGCACCGGAGCTCCGATGACGCATGCGGAGGGGCAAAGAAGGCGAGAGGGACCGTTTCCGTAGGCCGGAGAGCACCCCAGGTCGACACTCACTCACTCACTCACTCACTCACTCACTCACTCACTAAACCTTGAACTGCCCCTTCTCTAAACTGGGGCCACCGGACCCTAACTCCTGATCTTTAAGACCCTACAAGGTAACCCACAAAAGGGAGATTGTGGGTGAACCTTAAAGGCCTCAAAGCCTAAGCCCCAAAGCTCTCCAAAACCCCTAAAACTGTAAAGGACCCCTGAAAGGACCTTACTTAAAGGACCTTACTTAAACGAACCCTTACAGAACCTTCCTTAAAGGAATCCTTAAAGGACCCCTTTAAAAGGCGTCAACGCCTGAAAGCCCATGATCCGAGCCTTCCTCCTCTTCCTTTTCCTCCAGGCGCTTGAGGAGGTTCCTGGCGAGATAGAGAAGCTTCGGTTTCGGGTTTAGAAGTTTGGGGTTTCGGGGCTTCGGGTTTAGGGTTTCAGGGTTTAGGGGCTTAGGGTCAAGGGGTTTAGGGTTTAGTGGTGTAGGGTTTAGGGTTTTTTCGGTGTTTTGCGGGTGTAGAAGGCCTTCAGGGAGCTTACCAATGGCTCCGAAGCATCATAAGGACACGTAGGGGTGTATGGAGGAGGGGGGTAGGGGGCTTATCTTCCTCAAAATGTCCTTATTAAAACTCCTGATCAGGGGTGTTAAGGCCCCCTACCCCCCTCCCCGTACCCCCCTAAAGGGTCCTTATGATGAGCATGTGCTCCAGAACACAAAACCCCCATTCCAATTATTAAATCAGGCCCCTAGATCATAGAACCCTAGTTAAGCGAACCCGGAAACGGAGCCGTAAACCCCATTCTTATGGCCCCAAACCCTAAACCCTAGGCCCCTACACTGCAGGATCTGGATCCCTAAACCCTAAACCCTGAACCGATCTCAAGCCGGGCCTCATAAACCGGTCCGTCTCCATGAGGGACGGAAGTTGCGGCCGGCCGAACATGTTGACATCTCAGCTTTTGGGTCAGGTTCCTTTCTGGCTTTCTATATAAGGCTTGCTTCAAGGGTTCCCTTAGGGGGTTTAGGGCTTTTAGAGGTTTAGGGTTTAGGGGTCTAGGGCTTCCAGGGGTTAGGGGTTAGGGGTTTAGGGGTTCCAGGAAGACGAGTTTCTCTAGGGCTTGGGGTCTTGTTTAAGGCTTTAGGACGTTCTGAGGACTTTAGATCTTTAGCTTAGGGTTTAAGGTCTCAGAGAACTTCACACCTGGGTTTGATGGACCCCCCGAAAGTGCACTTTCATGGAGCCCTTACGGTCCTTAAAGAAAGCGTGGGTAGGGTGGAATGGTGGGTAGTTCAAACATAGGAAATCCCTATAAAACCCATGGCTTTTATAGGGATTGGGGATTCTTCTAACCCGTTGGGGGCCTAGGAGGGATTCTGGTTTCGGAGTGTAGGCCCCTTCAGCTTAAGGTCTCGGTGTTAAATTCCGGTTTAGGGTTTGGGGTTTAGGGGCTTTTAAACCCTAAACCCCAAACCCTGAGAATCGCTCCAATCGAAGCTGAACACCCGGAACCAAAAACCAGAAAACCTAGCATCAAACAACTTTCAATCGCCTTTTCAGGAGCTTTCGAACCAATAGTGGAGCCTAAATAAGGTGTCTGTTGAATAGGAAATGATAGCCTGTAAGACAGTCTGAAGGGTCTAGTATCAGCCCCCTGCGCGGGGCTTTCTTGGACTCAGCCCCTGAATGCAGCCTATGCAGCGGTGAGGACCTTTTATATCTGCTATTTTTTCTGAAAAGGGTACTGGGTATACATACATATGTTGCCACCTGCTGTGGACGTATGAAACGTTCGGCATCATATAAAGAGTCCTACAGTTTTCGTACAGTCTATACCGACACCGATGTCTTTTGTTAGGGCCCCGAGGCCCTGTAGTGACCTTAAGATTCGCTAAATACCTAACCCTGAACCCCTAAACCCCTAGACCCTTAGACCCTAAACCCAAAAACCCTTAAACCCTAAACCCTTAAACCCTCAACCCCCAAAGCTGCTGGACCCTATAGACCCTAAATTCGCTACATACGGGCGGGTTTAGGGTTTAGGGTTTAGGGTTTAGGGTTTAGGGTTTAGGGTTTAGGGTTTAGGGTTTAGGGACAGGGCCAGGGCTAGCCGAGGAGCTCGTGTGGAAGGCTAGGGGATAGATTGGCCGGCGGCGGTTAAACTCGAAGAAGCTCCTTGCAGGGTTTAGGGTCTAAGGGTCTAGGGGTTTAGGGTTTAAGAGCTTAGGGTTTAGGGTTTAGGGTTTGGGGTTTAGGGCTTAAGAGTTTAGGGTCTAAGGGTCTAGGGGTTTAGGGTTTAAGAGTTTAGGGTCTAAGGGTCTAGGGGTTGCGGGTTTAAGAGTTTAGGGTTTAACGGCTTTGGGTTTAGGGTTTCGGGCTCTGTTCAAAGCTTTGTAGAATTCACGGCTTAGGGTTTAGGGTTTTGAAAGAGCTGTGTTTTGCGTTTTACAGGGTTCTGGGTTTGCAGCTGCGGCCGGCTTGCCGGTTGAGGGGGTCAAGGGATTGAAGGGGGTTTAGTTTGCGTCTGACGGCATGTCAAAGGCACGACAGTAAGGTGCCTGCCAGCTTTCGCAGTCATCTTGTAATTTTGTACTTGTTGTTGTCAGCGGCAGTGCTGCTATTGTTGCCGCTATTGCGCAGTTGAGAAACTCTGCTTGCTACAGCCTCGACGCGTATTTTGTGGGTTGGATGATTCGGTACCAAGCACAGTTGCTGTCAAATTCAACACCTTCCTTAGCAATCTGACGCTAGGCTAGACCCCTGAGACGTAGGATACAGTGCCTCCTCTTGCCACAGAAAATGAAGAATCAAAAGAGCCCTAAGCCCCAACCCCATAATATAGCGGCTCTCAACAATGACACTGTGGTTTAGGAGTATATTGTAGTATAATAGTGTCGTTATCATAAGAAACCCGAAGGAAGAGTACTCAGAAGTTGTCACGCGTTTATATTACGTAAGCTCAAGCTCCTCAAAAACCCGGAGACGTCTGAACGCATGGGTTTAGGGGTTTCAGGGGTTTTCGGGTTTTATAATTAATAAAGTTTACGGTTCAAGGTGTAGAATGCTAAACTTTGAAGTTTGAGGGGGCTTAGTGGAAGAGGGCTTTATGGGCTTAGGGGATCTGGAGTTATCAGGGTTTAGTGTTTAGGCTGTACGCTTCGGGGTCTTCCTGACTGTAGACTGTAGCCCCACAAACTTACAGTTTTCGACTTCCCATTTTTCGCTTTTTGTAGTGCTTTTTACAGCACACATGTCGTCCATAGGGCAGGTTCTTGAACTACTTCTAATTTTATTCCCTTACAAACCCCTTCCGGGCTACAGGTGGGGCAAACCCTAAAATTCAGACGAAGCTGCACGAAGTCCAAGACTTTGCCGGCGCAGTTCTTGCCAAGGCATTTCTTCAGCCTTGCTGTTCGTTAAAAAGATCTCCTATATAGGGCTCTTTAAAGTCTTCTATATTAAGGGCTCCTTTTTGGCCTTAAGGGTCTTTATAGGGTTCCATAGTAAGGGCTCCTTTCAAGGTCTCTAGGGGATTCCATAATAAGGGCTGCTTAATAAGGGTCTTATTATAGGGCTCTACGGGCTTAGTAGAGGGGCCATAATAATTAGAATAGGGCTGTAAAGTTAACCCTAAACCCTAAACCCTAAACCCGTTTTAAAGGGCTGCTGTAAGGGTCTGGCCATGAATGGCCTGAGTAACCGGGATAGGGCTCTGGGTATATCCTCGTACGAATATAGGAGTTTCAGAAAATTAGGGGTACCTTATTTGGGGGTCCTTATAATAAGGATCCTATTATTTAGGGTACTATATTAGGGTCCCCTATTTTCGGAACTCCCCATATGACAAGGAACTTTTAAAGACTAGAAACACAAGTTATGCAGGATTTTACATTGTGCATGTCGGTACTAGTGGTAGATGAAAGGTCGTGTTCGGGCTCTAGGACGACGAGCATGAAGTCGTTTTAAGCGTAGGGTCCTTGTAGCGGTACTATAGGGATTGCACTACCTCAGGGGGCTCTATTCGATAGGTGGAGAGGTTTTTAAGTCGCACATCTATAATCCTTGGAGCAGACGAAACCCTAGACAACCCCAAACCCTGGACTTTGAAGTAACCAGGGACAAAAAGTATAGACTTTTATTTCATAATGGTTTCTTTAAGGAACAGGTCCACAAAAAAGCATTCAAGTACGGTACTCCGGAACCCAAAACCCTAAACAATGAATCCTGATCCCTGTCCCAACTGCGGTTGTATGCATGCTTTGGAAGGTGGAGGTCGGGGCTCTTGCATAACCCAAAGGCCCCATAGTAGTTCCGTTTTGGGATTACCGAATAGGATCCTAAATATAAGCCACAAAAAGGAAGTACTATGCGGCCTTCTGGGAAGATGCATCCGCCGCAATTGCACCAGAAAGGATAAACAATGCTTGGCTTAGAGCATTTGGGTAGTTCTCTAAGTTAGGGTCCCATTGGGGTCCTTTTAATAAGGGTGGCGTACTATATTGGGGACCCAAAAAGGGACCCTAATTTAGAGAACTAGTCATATATAGCCCTTATAATGCCCTTTTTGGAAACCCCATAGAAACCCTGTATAGATCCCTTTAAGGAACCCTAAGAAGGGACCCTCTTAGGGCATTTTGTGTTTGAAAGATTGCATCTCGAATTTTGGGCTTGGGTGGTACCTTCCCTGCGACGCATGCCAGATCTGACTTCAGACCTGCAGAGGCGAGGTTTAGGGTTCAGGGTTTGGTTAGGGTCTGGGTTTAATTAGGGTTTAGGGTTTAGGGCTTAATTAGGGTTTAGGGTTCAGGGTTTAAGGTTTAATTAGGGTTTAGCGTGTCGGGTTAAATTAGGGTTTTGGGGTTTGGGGTTTAATTAGGGTATAGGCACAGGATGGCACAGGGTTTAGGGTTTAATTAGGGTTTAGGGTTCAGGGTTGGAAATGAATCCCGTCTCTTTGTGCAGCGCATGTAGCGTGACTGCCGTGCGGCAAAAGTTTGGCGGGAAGGCAGCCGGCGTCTTGAAGACGTTGGACCCGCTCTTCACGGTATCCTTGCACATGCTGAGAGCTTTCGGGGCAATCGTAATTACCAATTCTTTCTTAGGGGTTCCTGATTATCCTACTTACAGTATCGTATAACATACTCCAAAATCCAAAACCCTACCTATCCTAGTCATTAAGGCCAACAATTAATCTCATGTGAGTCTCTTTGGGCTTGCACGTCTCTATCTGCGCATGTAGCTGCCAGGCCTTGATTTAGATGAGAAAAGGAGTAGGGTTAGCAGGAGAACAGGCAGCAGCGGCGGCACTCGCAACCACAGAAACAACATCAGGACTTGCAGCGAGGTAAGAGTGAGTTGTTGTTGTTGCTGTGTTGCTGCTGCCTACGGCGGTTTGTGTTTTTGTTGCTGTTGCTGCGGGCTTTGTTGTTTGCTGTTGGTGCAGGTGGGTGTTAATGTCTTGCTGCTGGGTGCTTTTTGCTGCTTGAGCCCCAACTGCCGTTCACTCACTTGCCGGTTTGCCGAGGCTTCAGCTACGGAGCGCAACAGCGAAAATACAGCAGCAGCAGAAATTATAAAGAAGACACGTACATAAGAGTGTTTTTGTTGCTTGATGTTGCTGCAGCTTTGCTGTTGCTGCCGGGGGGAGGTCATGTTTTGCTGTTGCTGTGGGGAGTGTTTTTTAGTCGTCGATGGGGTCGTGGTCCGCACGGCTGTCAGTATTTTCGGGTCCTTCGCTTCCTTCGCTGTCGTCACCGTCAAGCCATCAGAAGCATCGTTATCAGAAGCTCCACGACCGTCATCACCATCACATCAGCAACACGCAGCGGTCACCATCATCGTGACAATTATGCAGTTGCAGCATCGCCATTGCTAGCCGCTATCAGCACCACCATCAGTTCAACCAGCACTACCATTACCATTACCATTATCGTCATCGCGATTCGCAGCACCATCAAAAACATCATCGCCGTGTTTGCGTTGGATCATCACCACCATGACCAAACCCTACTGTACCCTTACCCTAAAACTCAAAACCCAGTATTCCCTGAAACCCTGCAGCCGCTAGACCGCTTACACCCTTACACCTTCAAGCCCTAAACCCATGCCCCTAAACCCTGAAACCCTGGACCATGAACCATGCAAAACAAGAACTAAAACCCATGCGCCCCAGGATTCTAAGCACATAAATCCCAACCTAAAGAGAAAAAACTTACCTAACCCCTGAAACCAAGGAACCTGTATAGAACACTTACAGGAACCCCTACAGAAGCCTTGAAAAGAACCCTGAATCCCTTATTTTACAGGGACCCTAAACCTTATAGAACCCAAAACCCTAAACCCTAAAACCTTCTAGATGTATAGAACCCCAAATCCATTGTGCTAAAGGAACCCTAAACCCTCAAAAAAGAAAAGCGTCACACCAGGTCTTCACTTCCCCGAGGCCATCCAGGCGACTCTGAAGGAGCTTCGGCCTCACTATGTAATTTCTATAAGGGATCTGTAGGGCTTAGGGCTTAGGGGCTTTGAGGTTAGGGTTTAGGGCTTAAGTTTTTGGGTTTAGAAGATTAGGGTGTATGAGGGATTAGGGGTTTTGGGATTACAGTGGAAGCCAGAAAGTTGGAACATGAGTATCCTCATGCCCTCAAGGTAAAGTATAAGGGATCCTAGCACGAATCATCCCTAAACCATGTTCCAACTTTCTGGGGCTCGCTGTGGGGTTTATGAGGGATCAGGGGTTTGGGGTTGAGGGTCGTGTGTTTACGGGTTTAGGGGTCTACGGTCTAGGTTTGAAGGGTTTGAGGGTTTGAGTGTTTGAGGGTTGATGAAGGATCCTGATATGATAGTTTCTATCTATGCTTCTGTAAACAGGTGGGGTGAGTGGTCGAGGGCTTAGGGTTGCAGGGTTTTGGCATCCACGGTGTATGGGTTTAAGGTTTAAGCGCTTCATTTTTGTCCAGGGTTTTGGGGTTTTAGGGATTAAAAGCCTAAACCCTAAACCCTAAACCCTAGTAGGGCACAGGGCTCCTTCGACTGGTAGCGCTTACAGGTTGCTATGGGGGTTACTATTATACGGGGCACCGAGATCGGATTTTGGACCTTATAAGCCCTCAGCCCCTAAACCGTCTAAAACCCTTAAACCGAAACCCGCCCACCATCCCTCTCCTTCTGTGGGTAGGTTTAGGGTTTAGGGTTTAGGGTGGGAGCTGTCCAGCGCCAGCGAGACTATGCAGGCACGGCAACTGCGCTCGTTTGAAGGGGTCGCCCAGCTTGATCGCCAAGCTTCTCTCGTTCTTGTATTACCCACTTAACTTAAGGGTCTAAAAGTACCTACATAGTGAGTAGAATATGTAGGGTTTCTATATTAGGAAGTACTCTGATGACTGAGGGTAGTATCCCCTCCAGAACAGTACATAGGAACCCTGGCGACCCTTAAATTTGGTCCCTTCGGCCCAGAAGTTTCGCTTTGACCTCTCACCGTGTGCCGGCTACATCCGCTGGCCATGCACAGAGCATCCGCTGTCTGATGTGAGCCTAGAGTCCCACATGTGAATGTGCGCCAACTTTATACTTTGAACGTTGGCGCGGCTTGCATGTTGCTGCCTCTGGCTGGCCTGCTGTGAGTCCTGAGTCGTGTATGGGCGGTCTTGGGGTGGGAATATATGTCTTTCTGCTACTGTGTGCTACCTAAAGCGCCAAAAGTAAGTAAAGTAATGGCCCAAGGGCTATATTAGGATACGGTTAGGCTAAGGGCCCACATTTATGCTTGGGAGAGTATATGAATAGAAGGCACTTGGATCTTTAATTAGGGCCCTAAAAAACCACATAAGCAACAATTAGGATAGGGATATCCCATATAAGCCCCCTTATAATGAAGCCCAATAAGGTAGGGAGTTGGGAGTCCAAGCTTGCCCGAAGCGACACCTAGACTCAACGGCGTGACGAGAGTGCCCCTACCCATAGCCCCCATAGTATTTCCTTTTGGGATTACCTGGTAGGAGCCTAAATACAAACCACAAAAAGGAACTACTATGGGGCCTATGGGTAGACTTGGGCAGGTTTCGGTAGCTTTGCGTGTATGTGCTAGTTCGGCTTGGGCGAAATTTTTCAGGCTCCTATACAAATGACGGTACTTCCATCGACCACTTAACAACTTTCCCTCCACAGGCCTCAGGACTTCATAATTTTAGCACGGCTTTCGGTAAGATATAGTATGGTTGTTTTCGGGAGCCCCTAAGGACTAGTAAGACAAGCATTGCAAATTACGTTTTGAGATAACTACCTGACAGGGCTTCAAGCACAGGTTACACGTCAGAGGGTTATTAAGGATATATAAAGCCTAAATCCTAAACCCGAAGAGCCTTTGATGCTGAGACGCTTCACTGCAAGGGCGTGTTTCTTTTCTCTATTGAGGCTCGTAGCTTCAATACACCCCAAGCCCTAGAGGCTTCTTTTGTTCAAGTGTCATGGCGCCCCTTTTCGAGAAGCTGCAGCTTCTACAGGCCTACACGGTGAAACATGGCAATCTTGAGCATAATCGTGTAGGGTTTAGAGTTTAGGGTTTTCGGGACAAAAGACCAGAATCCATGTCCAAAGTCAGAGCTCAAGACCCCGCTTGCATCAAATTGTGGCTTCTAGAAATTAGGAGGAGGACTTAGGTAAGGAGCCCATTTCTTGTGGTCGAGATTCCCTTTACGCACCGACCCACGAATCTGCACCCTCCCTTCCAGGGCTCCGGGCTCCATCTTCAGGATTTCCTCATGATTTGATAATCCTGGATGCTTCATGTCATTCACGAAGGTGACCCCCTGCCTCTGGCGCCGCTCTGCAGGTTCTCAACTACGGAAGGCTTCTTGCGAGTTCTCATTCACTTAAACCCTAAGCCCTGAACCCTTCAAGACTGGCTTCCATCCCAACAAGCAGACAAGAAGTACATCTTCCCTCTACAAGGCCCTAAACCCTAAACCCTAAACCCTAAACCCTAAACCCTACAAGGGTTCACGACCCAGATCTTCCAAACTTCCTTATCCAAGGAATATACCTTAAATTATAGTGGGACCCCCACACAGGATTTCAGGAGTATTCCTTACTGAAGCGTTTTTGGACGGTTTGGGCAGCTCTAAACCTAAACGCTAACCCTAAACCCTAAACCCTGAACCCAGACCCTAAACCCTAAACCCTGAACACGAAATCCCCTATAGAATCCACAGGGTAGACCGTTAAGCCCTGAGCTACATTTTTGATCAGTGGGCTTGAGATGAAGTCGCGGTGTATACCGACATGATGACTGTACACGATTACATAGAATCCTACGCTTGGTACGATGCAAAACAACACCCCATGCAAACCCTAAACCTGAACCCTTACTAAACCCTAAACCCCGAACCTGAAACCCTAAACCCCGAACCCTAAACCCTTTCCCCCGAACCTGAACCCTAAACCCCGAACCTGAAACCCTAAACCCTAAACCCTAAACCCCGAACCTCAAACCCTAAACCCCGAACCCTAAACCCTTTCCCCCGTACCTGAAACCCTAAACCCCGAACCTGAAACCCTAAACCCTAAACCCGAAACCCGAAACCCCGAACCTGAAACCCTAAACCCTAAACCCTTAACCCCGGACCTGAAACCCTAAACCCCGAACCTGAAACCCGAAACCCTAAACCCTAAACCCCGAACCTGAAACCCTAAACCCGAAACCCGAAACCCGATACCTGCAGCCTGAAGCCTCGAACTCTTGGACGCTCCAAGTCCGGATCTTCAATCCTACTTATAGGTTTTTTTTCGGGTTCAGGGTTTAGGATTGAGGATTTAGGGGTTTAGGGTCCTTTAGGGGTGAGGGCTTTAGGGTTTTAGGGTTTTAGGTTTAGGGGTTTTGGGGTGAGGGCTTTAGGGTTCAGGGTTCAGGGTTCAGGGTTTAGGATTTAGGGTTTGGGGTTTAGGGTTCAGAGTTGCATTTGGGGTTTAGGTTTAGGGTTCAAGGTTGGGCTTAGGTTTAGGGCTTAGGCTTTAGGTTAAGGGTTTAGTTTCCCCATGCAGCAGTGGCACCATACAATGCTCCCATCCTCCTTCTTCTCGTACTCTTTCTCTGTTTCTTCCTGGAGGTTCAGGCTGAAGACTTAGGCTTTAGGGCATACTCTTTCTCCGTTTCTTCCTGGAGGGTTTGGGCTTGCCGACGACATGTAATCACACGTCATCGCAAAGGCGTTAAGGTCAGATTAACAAATAAGGGTTCAGGGCATATGCCCCCTACATCTACTCTACATTTACGGGCCATTTGGTTTCTTCTTCTTCCGTCGATCAAGTTGGAGTTGCATGCAACACGAGGCTCCCCCACGCCAAAAAGTAACACACCAAAATCCTGAGTTCTGCAACCCCGATTATTGTTTGACAAAAATGGTCGGCATTCTCCCTAAACCCTAAACCCTGAACCACAAAACCCTAAAAAACTAAAACCCTAAAGCCATCACCCGTAAAGCCCTAAAATTTTAAAACCCTAAACCCTAAACCCTAAACCCTAAACCCTGGACCCTAGAACCCTGAAGCCCTACAGCCCTAAAACCCTGGATCCTAAACCCTAAACCAGAAACCCTAAACCGAAGCCCTAAAACCCTAAACCCTAAAACCCTAAAGCCCTAAAGCCTAAACCCTAAAACCCTGAAGCCCTAAAGCCCTAAAGCCCTAAAACCCTAAACCCTGCGCTTCATCTCGGTGGTTGGGGCTCATCGGGTCTCAAGCTTTGGGGCTCGAGGTCTCAAGGTTTTAGGGTTTCGGGGCTCAGGGTTTAGGGTTTAGGGTTTGGGTTTAGGATTCCTATAAACCCTGACCCTATGACCCTAAACCCCAAGCCCTGAATCCCTAAACCCACAGCCCTGAACGCTAAACCCAAAGCCGTGAACGCTAATCTTTGAACCCTAAACCCTAAACCCTAAACCCTAAACCCTAAACCCTAAACCCTAAACCCTAAAGCCCTAGCCCTGAACCCGAATGGTTTTAGGACCTAGGAGTCATGGTTGGGAGCCTTATGAGGTTTAGGGACCGAGCACCTGCTTCCTTCGTTCACAACCGCGCCCGGTATGGGCTCGGCGGCTCACCAAAGCTTCGGGTTTAGGGTTTGGGGTTTAGGGTTTAGGGTTTAGGGTTTAGGAAGGAACCCGAAGGAATCATATTGGGAATTGGTAATTATTGAGTCTTCTACTTTACACCTCAACTATGAACCCTAAACCCTGAAACCCTAAACGCCCCCTAAACCCTATAAACCCTAAACCCTAAAACCCTGAATCCTAAACCCTAAACCCTAAGACCCGAAAGCATGGAGTACAGCCGAAACCTCAACCCCGGACTCATTACAGATACCAAAGCCCCCAGGCCCCAGCAAATAAGAAAGAAATGTTTAGGGTTTGGGGTTATGGGTAGGGTTTAGGGTTTAGGGTTTTAGGGTCTAGGGTTTGGGGTTTAGGGATGTAGGGTTTAGGGCTTTAGGGTTTTAGGGTCTAGGGTTTGGGGTTTAGGGATG